GAAATGGAATGAAACGACTGGGAGGAAGGGGCAAGGAAAGGGGGATGACTTTTTGCAGGGCGAATAATATTGTCAATGGCTTGCGTTTTTTGGGAAGGCACGGGGAGTTAGAGCAGTTAAGGGAAAGAAAAGGATAGCTTGCATGGATGTGTGTGTGTGTGTATTTGGAGGAACCATCATTTGGACGCGATTCTCTCCGTGTAGTAGAACTCTATGAGGATGAATTTTGTTTTCTTTTGCTTCTTTTTTTTTTTTTGTGTGTATGTGTGTGTGTGTTGCCTTCCTTTATTTTCTTCTGCACCACGCCGCTGGTTTTTGTTTCACACATTCATCCGTTTCTCCCCCTCTTTTTTTTTTTTCCTATTCATCTCTTGTTATTTAAGGAGCGGGTAGCTAAAGACGGGAGGGGGAGGGGTGAGGGAAATTTGGGCAATTCTTTTGGCGTGTATGGGGTCTCGTGGTGCTGAGGGAGGCGGGGGCCCATCGTCAGATTCATCCTGGTTTGGTGACGGCAGCCACCGAGCTTCACGGTGGCAGAAACGTCAATCACAACGCGGAACACCACGTTGGTCCTATGAGTTACAAGACATTCCTAAACGAGTACGAAAAATCCTCAACGATGTGAATGTCGGTTACGCAGCCCGTCTTTTATTGACTTGTGGAGTCGCCGGTGGCGTCGTCTCAGTCCTCTACTATGCATTTTTTGTTCGTCTTCAGGAATCCCGTCCACTGGCGAAGCGATCACGGTTTGCACCGCTTGTGCCAGTGACGCTTATTGAAAAAGATAAGGTGAATGGATCTAGCATGGTGGTGCTACGCTTCGCGTTGCCCAATAGTTACGACTACTGTGGTTATGAGCCGGTGAGTTCGGTGAGGGTGACTTCCGGCACTGTGCGAGGGATGGGTTCCGTTAGCCGTTGGTATACACCGATCAGTCATCCGGAGCAGCGGGGTATTGTGGAGTTTGCAATTAAAGACCGCGACCCTGGAGTTATGTCAGCCCGACTGCGGTATCTTGAGCGCGGCGATCGGGTCTACCTTGGCCGCTGGATGAAGGAGTTTCCGTACAAGAAAAACACATATGGGGAGTTGGGTCTCATTTCCACCACCTCTGGTGCCTCGATTGCCCTGCAGCTGATGAAGGTGCTGGACAGCGATAAGAGTGATCGCACAAAATTATACTTCCTATATTGCCACCACACTGCAAAGGACATTCCCTTTCGCGAGACATTTGATGCCTACGCTAGGCGAAATCCTGACAGGATATCTTCAAATTACAATGTCTTTTCCCTGGCCAAGCAAACAAGAGCACAGGATGTACGTCTGGGTGAAAACTTCTTTCTTGGAAACATTGATCCAACTATCGTAGAAAAGGCACTCCCACCTCCCGCTATCGTTGATCCCGCTACAGGGAATATTGTGCGGCCAAAGATCCTTATTTGTGGTCCCCAGAGTATGCTGTTGCCTCTTTGTGGAAGAGTAAGTACGATTGGTAACTATTCATATTGGCAAGGGCCATTCTACAAGTATTGCGGCTTTCTGCGGGACATGGGATATACCCGCAGCCAGGTCTACAAGTTTGGCGTTTCTACCAAGATGTTGGCTTACCAGTAGAGGTTGCATGTGCTTTTCCCTAGAAAAGAGGGGCTTAGATGGGGAAAACGAAAAAAAAAAACAAAACATGAATCAGCCGCGTCTAAGTGTGAATGGGAGGATCCGTGGGAAGTGATTCTTATTTATTTATTTTTGCTTTTGTGTAGCTCTGCGGTGGCATTTCTGTTGGAGGGCCGGTGGCCGGCAAAGAAGCGTGATTGAACGGATTTCCTTTTTGGATGAGGTCTTTTTTTTTTTTTTTTTGGTGTTGCATCGTAAGTGTTTGTGTGAATGAGCTGGGGAGAGAGGGGAATAGTGACGGTGGGCCTCCATGCATTGTCCGACTGCTTCCCGATGGATTATACCATTTTTTTTTTCTTTTCTTTTGGGATCCACGTGCGTTTTGCGTCTGTCTAGCTCTATAGGGCTTTTCTAGGGGCCTTTGAGGCTGGGCAAGGAAAAAAAAAATAGCGACATACGTCTGGTGTCGGGTGCTGGCCAACGGCGCCGTGAACGATGAACGCGTGGGCCGCCGTGATTGACCGGCAGATTCTCCAACGCAATGCTGCGGAAATTCAGCTTACGGAGTGTGTGTTTGACGCACACAAAATTACGCAAAATCAGCTCTTGCGTCTGCAACAGCGGTACCAGGAAATTGTCGACGACAACGGGAGGTTGGACGAAAAGTGCAAGGCTCTCATGCAGCACGTGCGGACGTTGGAGCTGGCGGCGGCTGGCGTCCTGACTTCCACAGCTCGTGAGGGAGAACTGGAGGCGAAGGTTGCGGAGCTGCAAAAACAGCTGCAGGATAACATCACGCAGGAGAAGGATTACTACAAAAATCTTTACGAGGCCAAGCGTCTCACGGATGAGAACAAAGCTTTGCAGGAAGAAATAACGCGGCTAAAGGAGCAGGAAGCACAACGCGAAAATGTCCTACGAATGCTAAAAAATGATTACGCTGCGCTCAAGCAGGAAAATAGTGTGGTTAGGCCAAAACTAAATACGCTGATCAGCGAGCGGGATCGCTGCGTCAAGGAGCTGCTGACGGCCAAGGACACGATAGCGCGGATGCAGGATACAATTCTGGAGTACGAGGATAGGTGGAATCAAATGCAGAAGGAAAAACGGAATAGCGGTATTGGCTTTGTCATGGGGTCGACGTACTCAGATCCGCACTTTGGTGACTCGGTTCGAGGGAGTTGCGCTGTCAAAGACCCCGCAGCTACCCTACGAGACGTCTCCAGTGCGTTGGAGGTTCCCGTTCCGACAGCTCAGGCGTACGCCATCAATGAAGCTCACGGTGATCGATTATTGTACGCGACGTGTGCTGCGGATGGCGGGAAGTTACTTATTTCTGGAGGCGGTGATCGCATGATCCGTCACTGGGATTACAGTACTGGGAAGGCGCTGCGCAGTCACCCTAGCACGGACGTGCCACTATGCGTGGATAGCACATCGCATTATTTACTGGCAGGTTGCGCCGATGGTGTCGCCCGTTTTTGGGATACGCATGCGTTGCGCACAGTCGAACTTACTGGACATCGTGAGAAGGTTGTGGCCGCGTATCTTTCTCAGTCAGCGCACAACGCCTTTACTGCGAGCTCGGATCGTACCATTAAACTTTGGGATGTTCGAAAGAGTACAATTCAGCGAACCATCATGTGTTCTAGTAGTTGCAATGATATCTGTGTGGGTGGTTCCCTTATTTTTTCGGCGCACTATAACGGAAGTATATGGGTATGGGACCGCCGCACAAACGATCACGGCACGGAAATCAAGCATGCCCACCAGAAGGGTGTAACATGTGTTCGATTGGACCCTAGTGGTCAGCGATGTGTTTCACTTGGTCGCGACGGTGCTGTCAGCGTGCGTGACGTGCGCGAAATGAGTCGTGAGCTGCTTCGAATTGAGGATTATGGGATATGTTGCTCAACAAACCTTGCACGCCTCGCAGTAAGTCCGGATGGAGCGCTTTGCGCATTGGGCAACATTCAGGGAGAAGTTCTTTTTGTTTCACTTAATACCGGCCGCGTTCTCCAAGAACGGCTTGTAGGAGGACATGTGAAGGCGGTTCACAGTGTCGTGTGGGCCCTTTGCGGATCGACGCCCATGCTTGCGTCAATTGGTGAGGATAAGCGTATCGTTGCGTGGAAATAGACCCGACGTGTAAACACAAACGGGAGGCTGCACTTTTTCACTTATTTGTGTCTATTTGTTTCTTTACTTCTCTACCATTTACCCTTATCTCTTCTTATGTGTGTATGTGTTCGTAGGAGAAGGAGGAAAGGAGGAGTAGGGGCAATACTTGTATAAATGTCATACAGGCCCCTGTTTTTTTTTTTTTTTTTTCACATTTTGCACCTGCAAATAAGTGATGTAGTTGGAGTGATTTGAGATTTATGTTTTCCTCTGGCATGTGTGCGTTGTTTATATATATATATATATATGGGTGCCTTTCTAATTGTTTGTTTTTTATATGTTGCGAGCTTGATGACCGTTGAACCTGCGAGCCGCACCTCCGGACGAGAGTAATTTTAAAGGAAAGCGTTATAGAGTTTGAGAGTGAAATGGAGAGGTTTGTTTCCAGTTTTTTTTTTTGTTTTAGTGACAATATATTTCAATATATGTGTATGACTTCTTTGCTATTCACATTGTCGCTACATGTATACATGTTTATACCTATCTATGCGTGTTTGATTTTTTTTTTTTTTTAAAGGAATTAACTTTATGCATTTTTACTTTTTTTGTTTTTAACACGGCCTCTTCTTTTTTTTTTTTCTTTTTTTTTTTTTTTTGCAAAGGGAAGAACACGAGGGTGGGATGAATGACCCTGTCAAGCGATGCGAATTTTCATGCATCACCCTCAATTACACGCCACGCGGCCATGAATGCTGGAAATGCGCCGTTGGGAAACAAAACGACGGAGAATGGTGGTTTGGGTGGGGTTGAGGGCAGTTGTAGCAGCTGCGACACGAGGGAATTCTCACTGGACATGATGAACCGCTACGAGCACATGATAGCGCTCTTGACGGCTCAAGCCTTATCGCAGCAGGAGGAGATCAATCAGCTGAAGACAGCCCTCAATGAAGTGGCTAGTCTTCCTGATGTCAATGTAGATGAAAAGCGGTCTTCTGAAAGACTGTCAACACATAGAAATGTATCGAAAAGGCGTGAATGTAAAAAAGCTGCTGTTGAGAGCACCTCATTAAATGACTTGAAAAGAAGTAAAGAACGACAAAAATTACCAAAGCGATGGCGGCACCGTGTGGAAGATCATACAATATTGTTGCTGGAGAAGTACATG